CTTCGTAATGGGTGGTTGGTTTTCCTGCATGTCATACAGACATGAACCCGTTTGCAGTTATTATCTTCAGTGCACCCTTTACGATTCCAATTAATGCAGATTTGCCTGCTATCGTGCCAGATGATGTCAGATCTGAGGGCTATTGGTGTAATACTAGTGCGATATTTTTTTGTTGTTGTGACATCGAAATTGTCGCCTTCAGCTTCAATGTTCTGTTCAAGTAAGGTAGAGTCTCGGTTTGTAGTCAGACCTAATCTTCGGTCTTCGTCATATGTGATGACTGCTGAGAACTCTTGTTTGACGCATAGCATATTGATGTGATCACGATAAGTATTAAGTTCTTGTTCTCTGATATCATAGATTATTAAAACTACTTCCATGTATGTTCTAAATGCCAAAAGCCATTCTGATATGCCATTGAATTTTTGAGTATGGTTTCGTTTACAAATAGCAATGATGCCTCCTTCGGATGTTTGCAGTGTTTGTTCGTCTTCATTGTTTTTAAGACTGGTTTTTAAGTTTGTATAGGCAAACTCATGTAAGTCGACGTAGTTGCCAACTGCTATAGTCTTCCACAAGTGAGTTGGCAGATTTGGTTTAGTTGGAAGCATTTCAATAGATTTTTGACCTTTGGCCCAGTTGAGAACCCGAAGAGACGAATACGTTCTGTGCTGATAGCTTGAGAGTTGTTAAAACCATGTACTGGAGGTAGTTCAGTGCAGCTGTAATCGATAGAAGGGTACTTTCATGTGGTCATTTTTATTTTGAGTGTTCTATTCAGTAGAGAGATAGTGGGAGAGCTGTCACAGGCTGGTTTGTATGTTATATTTTGCGAACCGTTGAGGCTAATTATTAAGTTATTAAGAAGAGGTGTTAGAGGGCAATTACCTTGCTGGTTTCTAGTATTGTTATTGCTGTGTTTTTCATGTTGGGTCTGTAACACGTTGAACTCATGATTGTGTTGTGGAGTAGAGAGTTTTTCTTGTGAACTAGAGCTGTTATGATGCTGCAAGCTAGTAGTGTCTTGACAATGAGTCTGCTGAATTTGGTTGAAACATAAGTCTAAACGTTTCATTTAGTTTGGCAATCATATCCTTGTGTGCCTCATTGTTTTGATCAATGTACGACTTTATTGCTGCAATTATTGTGTTTGACGATGCTTGGCATGCTGTGTCAATATATGGCTTTGTATTAATGTCGATTTTGGAAAAATCAGTTTCACCAGATGTGTCACCTGCTAGACATGCCTCTGTCTTGTCTGGTTTGACGCTCTTGCTCATGTTGGATCTTGTTGCTGCTTTTTTCTGTTTTTTTTTTTTTTTTTGCTGTTCTGTTTTTTTTTTTTTTTTTGCAGAAATTTGATAGAAGTTAAATTGGCTACGAATTAGAATTCGTATTTTACTATGACTTGGAGCTTGTATTTATATAGTGATGTGTTTGATAGCATGACGTTATTGATAGTTACATTGATAGGTCAGTCCGTTTGCCCAATGCCTTCCTGATTCTGGCACATAATCTGATTGGGTCATAGTGGTCATGTGATAGCTGATAATAGGATATTGCTTAGTTTTTCGAATAGTTAACTCTGTGTTAACTTATAATAATTTTTAAGTTGGTATATATACATGCTATACAAATATTTAAAATTTGAGATTTTTCTATAAACAAACCTAGACAAATAAGATTTTCTAATCATGTCTAAAAATCTCATATAGCAAAACTAGACAAATCCCAATCCCAAATCCCAAACTCTGGCCAAATCCCAAATACTAACTATAATCAAATCTCAAATCTTATCTAAATCTCAGATTATATAATAATTATATTATATATTCTTTTTTTTTCTATTCTATTCTAATTCTAATATTATAAAATAATTATACTTCACTAATATATTTTATATTGCTACTATAAATCTAGATGAGGTCTGTTAGCCTACTCTAGTAAAGTTTTAAGCTAAGGATAAAATAATTCTAGTTATAGATCCCTATAGTAATTCATATAATTCATTTTACAAATATACAATATAAATTATTCAATAAAGACTAAGACCAGGCCTCATTCTTAAAAAAAAAAATATACTTTACTGATTAATAAATTACCTTTATACTTGCTTACTAAATTAAAGTAAATAATTGTATATGGTATTCATATAGTATTTATAGTATATAGAATTTATATAGTTGCTATACTTCTATTTATATAGCAAATATACTATATTGCTGTAATACTTTGACAAAGTAGCTATCTCTAAAATTTTAATTACTATTAACTATCGATATAACAGAAATCCGGGCTGGCCAAAAAAATTCGTTATATAGCATGTTCGTTATACCTATATAACGGCCTATATAATTGAATTAAGCTAGAATCCGTTATAAAGATATTGTGTAATACATTAATAAATCAAATACGCATAGTCATTTATTATAGCATTCTAAGTACACTTTTTATAGATGTGCATCTTTAAGTTTATACTTAGCTTGGTCCGCTTGAAACTTAGTGCTAAATACACTCCATTACTCTCTGCATATGTATAAGTTCTGGGACCGAGCATATATATATATCCTTTGTAAATGCACACAGAATTTTATACCTGCGCCAAATGCATACTTTTGGGGTCCCTTAAAGCCGGGCAGATTACATAATAATCAGCCAATTGGATTGTCAAAATTTGATAAACCCGAATAAAAGCAAAACAAGCAAAAAAGAGAGAAAAAAGTGAAAAATATCAAAAATGGTAGTCAAAACCCGTCTTGGTGCATTAACAAAAAATGTCAAGAGGTAATTTTGCTTATATTAATACCTCTAATTCTAACCCAAAGTGGCCCTAACCCTAATATTAATGAAAAAACAGCATAACACATAGTCTGCCAGATTTTAAGGACCCCCACTTTTGGTTCTAAAGAGAGCATATGTTAATCACTTGTATTTTTTTATTTTGGTTTGCTAGTTGAATTTTCCATTGCGCATTTCTCTAAATGTATACATACACTCTGATCCCATAGGCGTACACTTATGAGAAGTTTCATTGTACAATCCCGATCTAATAAAATGCAATCGTCATAATCACATTTTGAACAATTTAAAATCAAAATTAAAATGGCACATGAATTAAACTTCAGTTAGACAAGTTTAACCGATATATTAAATGAAAATATAACAAAGCAACAAAAAATATATTGCTGAATTCCTATTTCTATTGCATTTTCTTAAAACCCCAAATTCTTTGTTAAACTATGTGAATCAAAGAGTATTCTAGAAGATCTGTATGCCAAAAAAAGAAGATACGTGGGTCAAAAAAATGAAATATAAAAAAAAAAATAAAGTAAAAAAAAATAAGTAAAAAAAAAATAAAATAAAAAAAAAAAACATAAAATGCAAAAAAAAAAAAAAAGATCAAAAAAACTTTGGTCCTCATTAAAAAAAGAACTCTG